GGGGGTTTGCTTACCGTACCGGCGCCGACCTCATCGTCGCTCTTTCCGTTACGACGGCCCTCGCCCCCTCCTTCGGGGCAGACGCCGACGCAGCCGGAGAGCGGCAGTGAGGAGGAGGATGAGGAGGAGGATGGTGAAGGCAAGAAGGAGGAGGACACAGAGGGGAGCGGGGATGACAGCGAGGCGGCGTGGGACCCAGAGACGCATGGCGGTGGAGAGGGGGAGATGATGATGATATGAAGAAGAGACCACGAGATGGATGGGTTGGAGCCAGAGGGGCGGGAGGAGGAGGTGGGAGAGGGTGGTGGAAGGGCGGCGACAGAGGCGGGATCACAGCATGTGCGTGAAGGGGGAGGGAGCGTGGGGGTTAAGGTGGGGGGGAGAAAGGCCGTGACCGTTAGGGAGCCGAGGCAGAGGAAGAAGGCCAACAAGTTGAGGGAGCGGGCGTATCCTTGCACGTTCACTGGGGAGCCCTTGGGCGAGGGTGTGATCGCTCCCGAGTTCCTGGACGAGGACGGAGGGTCTGAGAGTAGTAAGGGGACTGGCAAGGGTAATAGGAAGCCGGGGTGGCAAGTAATGATATTCGGACCGTTAGGGGCAGACGATAAGCGTCAGTGCAAGATTTGCACAGACAGGATTTTGTGGAAGAAATCCACAACAACCTCCGGCGAGCGGCACTTTGCGAGCTTCCACACTGCGCACATGCATGTGTGGCATCACCGTTACCACACCCCGTCCGTTCACTTGCCAGGGGAGACGTTTCCACGTGGGGGCTACAAGGGAGTGCCGGATGGCTACGTCTATCAGTGGCCACATGCCAAGACTTGGCCGCAGCTCGCTAAGGGGAAGGGATGGCGACTGGTGGAGGTCATGGGTCAGGCGGGATGGAGCGGTGGATGACAACCAAACTGACCTCGGTGCAGCTACCGCAGGAGATCACGAAGCGAGAAGTCACCTGCGACCTCCCCTTCCGCATCGTCGAGGCCAAGGCCGTAATGCCCCATCCCATCCCATGCATGATTGGGCAAGCATGTTGTTAGTGGACGGGTCTGTCCCTTTGTGTTTTGACTGTTTGCGTGTGGCCCAGTGCTATATTATTTTCATCCCATCCCCCTGACGTTTTCTCCTCTCTCCCCCCTTGTCTCTACCCCTCTCCAGTTTCGTGAGCTACTCATCCTGCTAAACCGCAACTGCGCGCAGAAGAACTTCATCCCCTCGCGCTGGACGGTTTCCCGCGATACAGTGGTCTATGCGGCTGCCGCTCTTCAGTCAGCCATTGCGGAGATGCTGGCGAAGGAGGGGGAGCTGGGGTGCAGGGTGTCCGTTCACCATCAACATGTGGAGGTCGCACAACAACAGGGCGTGGCTAGTGGTAACGGGTCACTGGATCGACGAGAATTACCAGCTGCGCACAATGGTGTTTGAATTCCGCGAGATTCACGGGCGTCACACGGGCAAGCAGATGGCGAGGGTGGTTGAGGAGACTGTGGTGCAGTGGGGGTTGGAGACGCTTTGTTTTGGGTTCACCTCAGACAACGCCTCCAGCAACACTGCCGCTTTCAGGTGGATGTCGGAGGAGGGGTGGTGGCCAGTGCTTCTTCAACTCACGCATGCACTTCCGGTACGAAAGGGAGTGTGCGTGGGATGTGCGATGAGGGAGTCTGGGTGCGTCGTTCCTGTGATGTGAACATTTTGTGGTTGTAGTACAGGCAGGTGGGCCTATGCGGCTTGAGAGTGGTAGTGTTTCTCGGATCTATGCCAATGTGTACTCACACTTCCCTTTCTCTTCGCCATGAATGTTTTGTGATGTGCGCAGATGCCTGGCACACGTGATCAACCTTGCAGTGAAGGCAGCACTCGCTGTGACCGCCATCCGCAAGTTGCTGAAGATTTTGAGAGAGATGGCGTCGTGGTATAGGCTTCTCGCCGCAGGCGCTCAGGGAAGTTCTTGGGCCTTCAGCGGACCCTGAACGCGCAGGGCAACCCCGCCAAACCGAAGCCGGCATTGAAGCTGGTGCAGAACAGTCCCACACGCTGGGGGTCGACCCACGACATGGTCGAGGCGAGCCGGGGTTCTGCAGGAACCCATCTCTGTCTTCTTTGCCCAGACACAGGTGTGTGTGTGTGCCAGGTGTTTGTGTATGCGGTTTTATGTGTTGGTATGTCGGTCGGGGTGTTTTGTTCTGGGACTTGCACCACTGTTGACCATGCTTGACTAAACTTATCGGACCTCCAACAACCTCAACCACCCCACTTTCCAACCTAACACCCGCCCACACCATACGTTCTACCCGACAGGGGCGTGTCGAAGGCTGACAAGGCGAAGATGGACACCTTGCGCCTGACGGACGCAGACTCGGAGACTCTGCATTCTGTCAAGACCTTCCTCAGCCCATTCGCCAAAGTCTCAAAGGCCGCGGAGGGAGCGGCGTACCCTACAGTGGCGATGGTCCTGCCGTACTACACGGCCTGATCGACGCTATGGAGTCGCGCCTTGCCAAGGGGCAATTGGCTACGCTGAAGCCGATGATTGAGGCGGCGCTGGGTCTCTTGAAGAAGTATGAACTGACGGATGTCTCCTACGATACTCGTTGACGACTTGGGCCGTTTTCTCTGGTGTGACTACCTCCATATATCTCTTCTCATCTGGCGATTTGGTAGAACTAGGCAACTCAACAACCCCTACTTGCGCATTAAGGGTTTGAGCTTGAACTGTTGGATCTAGGTTCACACCCATGACGGGCGTGTTACGGAAGTTAGGAATTAGATAGTGACTTGACTCACCAGCGGATACTAGCATTAAATGTCAGTTGGTTGCTGAGGTCCGAGTACCAGACACGGTGGTGGAGCAGGTGTACGTGATCCAACCACCACGTATGAGCAGCACCAGGCTGATGAGGGTTTGAACATGCGGTTTAGAGAAGCACGATGGTCCTTCGAGATCCACCGCCTCTCCAGAGCACAGGTACATGGGCTGTTACTGTAGATGGGAAGAAGCTAGACGGTCACGGTCACAGGTAATGACGCTTTGGCCAGGTTTCCAGAAACTGCACTCGTGTTCGCGCCACTGACTGTATGGTCCGTTGGATACCTACGGCGCGCTGCTGATTGTTTTGCCGCTAAGTGCAAAAGGGACGGCCTATGATAAATAAACCAGCGGCAACGAGTGAGAGTTTGAACTGCCCGACTCCCTCGTGTTGCTGAATTACAGGCAACGCGACAGGTGCCGCACGTATATTATCACAATAGTCACGTACCATGCCCGATGAGCAGCTGCGACTACTCAGCGAACTACACGAGAGAGGGAAGGTGGGCTCGTGGTCGCACAACGTCGTGCAGCCACGTACAACAGGTCGACACAGCGTGATTGTGCAAGGGAACACCTGAAATCGCGGCGACGTGAGTCGCCGCACAGCGATTGCGACACGGTCGCAACGGCTCAGTGGTGTGATGAGCGCAGGTGTCGTAGGCGTGGGGTGTGAGGCGCATCCGAATTTCCAGCGCGTATAAACGCCTAGTCTCGCTATGCTACAGTATTGGCATGTACTACCCTGTTCGAAATTGGGTGTATAATCGTCATGGAAATCCGCTCAATTGGTTCATAGAGTCCAGTCCTGCCTTTATATTCCATGGGGACACACTGGTTTTTAACTGTAAGGAAATTCCCTTTTCCTTACTTCGCGTCCCTGCTCAACGCGTACATCACTGTAGCACCTCAGTCAGCACCGTTACCACTCGCGACCATCGCATCATTCATCATCCCGCCCTTTTCCGCACATCGCATCCCGACCTCACGGCTCGGCTGGTAACCCGCGCTCCGGGCCTACGCTTCGACACTTTCCCAACCTCAGTCCCAGGCTCGTCGCGCGACAACCACAGTCCAGTACCGTTACCACTATTGTTTCGCTATATAATCCTTCGCTCATGCCTTCGCTCATTGTACTCTTGCTTCGATAGTGCAATTCTCGTTCGTTCACTCAATTGCACACGTAACATTAACAAATAACCAACACAAATCAGTAGGATGCACACAGTGATGTCGTTAATCGATTAAAATCTCTGCTCTATGCACCGTAGCTTAAATTTTGAACAGCCAAGCAATCCTGTCAAATTCACCGTTACAGTTTACTATGGGTTGTGATTATCTTCATGTATAGACGTGTGATTTTCATTACTGAAGAATAGCATGAAGACACGTGGTTACATGCAGCTGAGACAGTTGTTGATCTCCCTGGCAAAACAGCACATGCAAGCCAGTTGCCTTTTGCAAAGCTAGTCACTGGGACAAGGTCAATGTACTATGGCTGAGTGCAATGACCAAGTCCACTTTCCATTATGTGCACCTCTCCGTAATCTGCACCTCTACAACCTCTGCAACTCTTTGTTCACTACCTCACCCAGTCCACTGCACCTCTCCATTCGCTAAACCTCTCCCTTCCCTGCACCTCTCCGTTCCCTGCACCTCTCCGTTCTCTGCCCCTCTCCTCCGTCCTCTGCACCTCTCCGTCCGCTGCACCTCTCCGTTCTTTGCACCTCTCCATTCTCTGCACCTCTCCGTTCTCTGCACCTCTCCGTTCTCTGCACCTCTCCGTCCTCTACACCTCTCGTTTCTCTGCACCTCTCCGTTCTCAGCACCTCTCCGTCCTCTACACCTCCTTGTTCTCTATCCAGTTGGTCCACAAGACCACATTCGCCGGACATTATTCATCTGCCATATCTCCTGCCCGTTTATCCATACTTTATCGACAAGTTCATCCCACTGACAGGCTGCCTAAGAAACCAAGGTGTATACAAGGAGGAGGTAGCGAGGCTTAACAAGAGAGTTGACTGCTGGGTCATCATCAATAACAAGGTGCGCCTCTCATACCGACATCACGTGCCGCAAGTGCCACACATGCCTCACATGCCTCACGTGCCTCACACGCCTCACATGAATACATGCCACCACGATACCTCACCCGATGCCACACATGCCACTCATGCCTCACGTGCCTCACATGCCTCACGTGCCTCAGATTTATCACGTGCCTCACATGCCACACGTGCCTCACGGGAGTCACCTGAGCTCCGCCTCCCATGCCTCGTATGCCTCACATGCATCACATGTCAGCACAATGCCCCACATGCCACTCATGCCTCACGTGCCTCGCATGCCTCACGTGCCTCACATGTCCCGTCGTGCATCATGTTCCTCACATGAGCTCTGCCTCTCATGCCTCGTATACCTCGTATGCCTCACATGCCGGCTCGATGCATCACATGCCTCAAACACCTCACACGCCATTCATGCCCCACGTGCTTCACATGCCTCCTCTTCCTCCTCCTCCACCTCTTCCTCCTACTCCTCCTCCACCTACTCCACTACATCCGCCTGCACCTTCTCATCCTCCTCATCCACCTCCTCCTCCTGGTTTCGAGGTTGGTTCAACGCATTTTCGAGGAAGAAGACAGACCACTTCTTCAGGTCGCGAAGGTACTGACGGCGCCACTTACTCGGTGTACCAACAAGCTTACACGCACCCAGGTTATGGAACTTGTTTTCAACAAGTGTGTGCATCACGCGCATCGTGAACACACCGCAGTCATTCTCATTAGTCTGCGACGGAATCTGTCAACACACATTCGCACATGCACGTGGCTGTCAAAAGGTGGGTCGTTGATTGAGAGCTGGCATTTAAGACAACGGGATCAGAGGTCACCTTGACGACGCGCAGAGGGATGCTCGCAGCCCAAGCATCTGCGTCCGAATCAAGGATCCAAGTTGAGACCCTCATAACCTCGTTTCTTAAGTACCTGAATGACGGAGCACAAATGGAAGATTAGAGATCGGGCTTCTACGATAGAATGCACACCCATGACGTCCTCTGACAGTACTTTCGCAAAGGCGCGTCCACGGATTCGTGGGATCCGTACGAATCCGCATGCCAGAGAACGCAGGTCATGGGTATGTTCTCATCTGGTTTGGGGATTATCTCAATGACGACCAAGCTCCAATGATACCTACAACAAGCGATGAGCGAGTATCTGTCAGAAATAGTCGTTGATCGAAATTATGACTGGAATTCAAGCGATTGACACCCACTCGCTGTTGATCGGGACGAGAATATAGTTGTAGTCGAATATCCCCAGCCCAAAAAGATGGGCGTTACCCCGCTTCGCAATGTCCCTTCCAGCGTAGTTCCAGAAGTAGGATCCACTGTACAGCCACATCTTGTTGTCGCGACCGTGCTCATATTGAAGCATCCTGTGGTTGTTGAAACATAACGCATTATAAGCGTCTTAGACCTACAAAGTAGTCCTACTTTGGCTTCTCACGAAATTAAACTCATAACTCACACTCCCAGCCAGTCGATGACGATTCCGGTCACCCATTCTCCGGGTTTAAGCTTATTAGCGTGTTCCTCACTGACGTCTAGCCACGCTCCGCCAAATGGGAAAGGCATTGAAATCGGGTGAAAGGGAAAATCACAAGCTGCATCTCGTGAAGCCATGGAATGGAATCACCTACGAGCTGGCGGTACTGGAGATTCAGATCGTCATGCAACGGAGTGTGTTCTGGCTGCTGGTGCTATCCCTGGAACTGTGTGAGCTCTCTGGTGTATGGGGGGTTGAAGAGGCATCGCCCAATGATGTGGTTCCGCAACACAGTTTCGACACCCACGTTTCGGTGCTGCCTTTGGGTCCGTCAGATTCCAAATGACGTGGACTGACATGAACGCGGATGGTTGCTAACGCTTGATTGCCTCCCTTCACTAGTGACTGATTCTGATTCTCGCTGGTCTGGAATGCCCAGTCAGCTGTGGTCCAAGAATTGTGCGCTCCAATGTTTCCGGAATTAGCTCGAGAAACACGTAGATCCAGCACGATGAGACTCTTTTCAACGGTCGGATTTTTGAGACGAAATGCAGTTTGGTCGATTAGGGTTCATCACCCTGCCTGGGCTTGAGCAACACATGACGTAATCGTACGTGATTGGTTGGAATTTTAGGGTTGTCAGAATCACTTCCGGGTTTGGTGTTTCGCCACCCACCACGTCAACCCTGCACACTCGACATCCAGTATGCTGTAGTGTCCAGATATTTTTAGGTGTCTAGGGAGTTGCGGAACACTATTAACCCCACGGTGACTGTCTTCGCACACCACACGGTTACCTTCGTGATCCGCTAAACATCAATTTTTCATACCGTGGAGCTGCTCATTCGCCTTTGCAATGCGGGGTGGAGTAGGTTCTCACGCTAAGTAACATATTTCTTGTGAACCCTTTTCATTTCCAGAGCCAGCCCGGGTATGTTTGTTGGGACAGATTCCCTCCATCCATGACATGCTGCTGGACGTAGATTTCAATGTTGACACCATCTCGACAGTAATACGTTGGTGCTATATCTCATGAAAGGCACAAGCTCCCTACGTAACTCACAACATCACGTTTGAAAAATGAAGGGTCAAAAGTGCGACTGTGGCGATGTCTTCTTCTGCTATCAGACCCTTCGAAGCCACCAATCCAATGGCGATAAGTGCAAGCTGACGCAGAAGAGAAAGTTGCGTTTAAAACAGTCGAGCCAGAAGCATAAAAAGCTTGGAGCCGCTTCGGATTCCGTCCCCGTTTTGCTGCCTGCACCGCTTCCCCGACCCAATCTGCAGTTACCATTGACGGAAACCGCTTACAGAGTAGTTCCCATCTCAGAAAAACCTGGACAGTCTGCTGAGGCGCCTTGCGAAAGTACCCTTGAGGTGGTATCGGATGACGATGAAGAGCCCGTTGATCTTAAGGCTGAAGTATGCATTCTGGCACGGAAACACGGGCTTACGAATGGGGCCATAACTGACCTTATAGATATCTTCAGGATCCCGGGCATTAGTGTTGAACAGTTAGAAGGCTGGACGACTTACAGGGACCTTGAGAAGTACGAAAGCAGCTTCGAGTTGGGGCCGGAGCACTCTTGGCAAGTGGCTGAGATCCCTGTGGATCATGAAGTGGGATTCCTCACCTTCAGATTTCGCAATATTAACGTGGTGTGTCTCACGCTGTTCTCTCTGTTTGTGTTACTCGCCCAAGTTAATTCTGCCGCACCCCTCACCAGTCGCGTATCTTAGTCAACAACTCATTGAATGGCATCTACCTTACGAACCAATGAAACAATGCTCTTTCCGATCTGCAGTTGGCACAGGTGATGTTCAAGAAGATGTCCGCAGTACGCGGATTCATCATCGAGCCGAAGGAGTGGAAGGTGGAGGGTGAAAGACGCTACAGCACGCCTGGCAATACTGACTGGATGCTTAAAGCGTGGGTTAGTGAGCATCTAAAGCTCGAAGTCATTGACCTCTGTCGCCCCTCGCTCTTGATCTCGGTCCTCCCCCCCTTGCTCTCAGACCTCCGCCCGATCGCCGGGTTTGTACTCTGATCTCCGCCGTTTGCTCACTGGAATCCGCCCGTTTCACTCAGACCTATCGCCCTTTTCTCTCTTAGATCCGCCGTTTGATCGCTCATCTCCGCCATGTGATCGCTCATCCCCGCCATTTGCTCTCTGATCTACACGGTTTGCTCGCTGATCTCCGCCCTTTCCTCTCTCCTTTCTCCGCACTTTGCTCGCTGATCTCCGCCGTTTGCTCACGGACTCTCCGCCCCTTGCTCGCTCATCTCCGCCGTTTGCTCTCTGATCTACGCCGTTGCTCGCTGATCCGCCCTTTGCCCTATGATCTCCCGCCCTTTCCTCTCTCTGATCTCAAGCCCTTCCTCTCTCTGATCCTCCTCCTCTTTCCTCTCTCTGATCACCGCCCTTTGCCCTATGATCTCCCGCCCTTTCCTCTCTCTGATCTCAAGCCCTTCCTCTCTCTGATCCTCCTCCTCTTTCCTCTCTCTGATCACCGCCCTTTTTCTCTCTCCGATCTCCAGCACTTTGCTCGCTCATCTCAGCCCTTTGCCCTCTAGTCTCCCGCCCTTTGCCCCATGATCTCCGCCCTTTCCCCTCTGATCTCCGCACTTTGCTCGTTGATCTCCCCCCTGCGCTTTCAGGTCTCCGCCCATTTCTGTCTGATCTCCCGCAATTTGCCCTCTATCTCCCGCCCTTTCCTCTGTGATCTCCGCGGTTTGCACGCTGAAATCCTCCCGTTTCACTCCGACCCCTCGCCCTTATCCCTCTTAGCTCCGTCATTTGCTCTCTGGCCTTCGCCCTTTGCTCTCTGATCTCCGTGTTTAGCCCTCTGATCTCTCCCGCCCTTTACAGGACCGCGTCCGTAAGGTCGGTGCAATCGTGTTGGCGATCATCCTCTATTCGGATCAAACCAACCTGTCCTACAATGGTAGGCAATCAGCACACCCCTTCGTGTTGTCATTCGGTAACACACCGGAATGGGCGCGTTGGTTGGAAGGCGGCACCGAGCTGTTGGGGCTCTTCCCTAACATCCCCTCCGACCTGAAGCCAGAGGAGAAGATTAGGGTGTTCCAACTGGCGGCGGAATACATGCTACAGCCTCTGAAGTCTCTTTCCAAGCTCCGCGGGTACGCTGCCCTTAAAGTTCTTCTACAAACGTGAAAAGATGTCATAGCTTCGTAGAGTCTCCTTGCCATGTATTGCATCAGTGGTTATTTGGAGTGCACATTCTGGTCCCGTTACGCCCGACCCCTTTAAACATTGCTTTCGTGCTCTCAGTCCTGATTTCCTCACCCCAAAGCCACCAACATGGCATGATTTCATGTTTGGTCGCGCAGCGGGGGCTTGAAGGTGGAGGACAGCAACGGGGTTGAGTACGTGGCCATCCCGCTGCTGTACTCAGTCGTGAACGACCATCCAGAGTCCAACAAGGTTTCGTGCACCATGTCATGTAGCTCCTTCCGACCTTGCTCCATCTGCATGGTCACGAGAGATAATCTTCGCGACGTGGATGACGAGATCGTTCCACGTACCGTCCGAGATCAAAAAGCTGTGTACAAGAAAATGGAGGGAGCGGAAACCAAGAAGGAACTGAACCGTCTGAAGAAGAAGTATTCGACCCACTTCGTTAAGGTACCGCTATTGATTGTGTGCGTACGTTTGTATGGTTCCGTGGTACCATGGTCCCACCCCCGTTCACCTTCCCATGCAATTGGTTGTAAGATCAGTTTCTCCCCTGCCCACTTCTCCTTTGTGCATCGCGAGCTCACAAACACCCCCTCCAACTAAACTCCCGTCCCCCTCCCTCTTAGGCTGGAGGTGGACACCTCGCCGTGTACCACCCTTGCTGTCCAAGGGTGAGTCTGTCCACGTGAGTCATTCCTGGCCCCCTTTCCCACCCTGATCCTTCAGGCCCCCTTTTTCTCGTTCCCCTCCCCTTTGCTGCCAGTCCTTGCTGTGGGATTGGGAGTTCTCCAAAACCTCGTGGGGCAACACGTATCTCGCCCAAACACCCGACATCATGCACATTATCGAGGCAGGGCTCTGGCTTCATGCAATGAGGTGCCTCGTGAAGAAATTGAAACCCTCAGAACGGAAGATACTTCTCGAGTAAGTTTCCCTTACACCACTGTGGGGCGCGGGTCATAAGGGCAAGAGAGAGGAGCATCGAGGGGGAACCAGAGGCAGAGAGAGGGAAAGAGGGGCAACGAGAGGGAATATGGCACCAAGAGAGAGCGGGAGAGGGGCAGAGAGAGGGAATTCGGGGCATATATATGGAAAGATGGGCAGCCAGAGGGAAAGATGGGCAGAGGGATGGATGGAGGGGCAGATATAAGTACTTGCGGGGCAAAGAGAAGGCAGGAGGGGCAGAGTGTAGTGACTTCGGGGCAGAGTGAGAGAAGGAAGGGCGTGAAGAGGGAATGAGGGGCAAATAGAGGGGGAGAGTGGGGCAGAGAGAGGGGTAGTGGGGCAGCGAGAGGTATGCTGGGGCAGAGAGAGGGTAGGAGGGGCAGATGGATGGAAGGATGGGCAAATAGAAGTGACTTCGGGGCGGAGTGAGAGAAGGCGGGGCGTGAGAGAAGGCGGGGCGTGACAGAAGGCGGAGCGTGAGAGAAGGCGGGGCGTGAGAGAAGGCGGGGCGTGAGAGAAGGCGGGGCGTGAGAGACGGCGGGGCGTGAGAGAAGGCGGGGCGTGAGAGAAGGCGGGGCGTGAGAGAAGGCGGGGCGATGGAGGGGTAGCGTGGTGGAATGCCGGGCGGAGAGCATGCAGGAGGGGCAGAGAGAGAGAGAGAGAGAGAGAGAGAGAGATTCGAGGCAGAGAGAGAGGGTGGGGCGTGATGAGGGAATGAGTGTCAGAGGAAGGTGCATGTGGGGCAAAGAGAGGGAAAGTGGGGCAGAGAAAGGGACAGTGGGGAAGAGAGAAGGAATTTGGGGCTGAGAGACCGAAGGAGGGGCGGAGAGAGGGAAGGAGGGGCGGAGAGAGGTGAGAGCGGGGCATAGGGAAGTGGGCATAGAGAGGGAAACAGACTCCGCGAAGGAGGAATGCAGGGTAGAGGGAGGGTAAGAGACGAAGCCAAGAAGGAATGCGCGGTAGAGAGAGGGATAGCGACGGAGTGAAGGAGGGTCATAACGAGGGAAGGAGGGTCAGAGAGAGGTGAATGCGGGGCATAGAGAAGTGAACTCGGGGCATAGGGAGGGCAGGAGAGGAATGAAGGGGGAAATTTGGGAATAGAGAAAGGGAGATTGGGGCAGAGAGAGGGCAAGTGGGTAAGAGTGAGGCAAATTGGGGCAGAGAAAGGGAACGAGGGGCGGAGCGAGGTGATCATGTGGCAGAGAGTGGGAACGAGGGTCAGAGAGAGGAAGGGTGGGGCATAGAGTATGGGAGAGAGGGGCAGAGGGGGGGAAAGTGAGGCAGTGAGAGAGAAAGTGGGGAGATGAGGGTGCGATTGGATGCACCTAACTACTCCCCCCCCCCCTTCACCCGTCCCTTGCTCGCCCGCCTGCCCCCTTCCCTCCCCCTTCCCCCCCTGCCCCACACCCCCATAACCGATACCCTGATTGCATCCCGTACGTGCAGACGCTACAAGATCATCAAGGCAGTGACCCCTGCATCTTTGCTGAGGCTCCCATCCGCGTGGGCGTACTTCACCACGACGGCCTGCTTCTCGGCGTCGGAGCACCGTGCCATGATGCAAGTGCTGCCCCTCATTATTGACCTCCCCAAGCGCGCCGATATTCGACATGCCATCACGCTCATGTCGGACTGGTACAAGGAGTTCATCCGGGCTGAGTATCACACTGATGAATCTCTCGAGCGCATGGAGGAGGTCTCCTGCGAGTAAGTCTAGTGTGAATGGATGTGCGTTCCTTGCGCAGAGGGAAAGAGGGACAGAGCGAGGATCGAGGGGCCGAAAGAGGGACTAAGGGGCCGTGTGTGGGAAATGGGGGCTGAGAAACGGGGACAGCGGGCAAAGTTTGTGAAAGAAGGGCAAAGAGAGAGAAAGAATGGAAAAGAGAGGGAAAGAGGGCAGAGTGAGGGAACGAGGGGCCGAAAGAGGGGAAAGGGGGGGCAGAGATAGGGAAGGATGGATGAGAGAGGGATAGAGGGGCTGAGAGAGGGAACGAGGGGCTGAGAGAGGGAACAAGGGGCTGAGAGAGGGAACGAGGGGCCGAGAGAGGGAACGAGGGGCTGAGAGAGGGAACGAGGGGCTGAGATAGGGAACGAGGGGCTGAGAGAGGGTACGAGGGGCTGAGAGAGGGAACGAGGGGCTGAGAGAGGGAACGAGGGGCTGAGAGAGGGAACGAGGGGCTGAGATAGGGAACGAGGGGCTGAGAGAGGGAACGAGGGGCTGAGATAGGGAACGAGGGGCTGAGATAGGGAACGAGGGGCTGAGAGAGGGAACGAGGGGCTGAGAGAGGGAACGAGGGGCTGAGAGAGGGAACGAGGGGCTGAGAGAGGGAACGAGGGGCTGAGGAAGAGGGAGAGGGAATGAGGGGCTGAGAGAGGGAACGAGGGGCTGAGAGAGGCATCGAGGGGCTGAGAGAGGCAACGAGGGGCTGAGAGAGGCAACGAGGGGCATAGAGAGAAGAGGAGGGGCACAGAGTGAGGGAATGGAGGGGCAATTAGAAGGAAGGAGGGGATGAGAGAGGGGGGGGGGGAGGATATGAGAGGAGGGGGGAGGGGATGAAAAAAGGCGGAAAGGCATGAGAGAGGGGAGGAGGGGATGTGAGAGGGTATGGGGCACAGTAAACCCCTCCATACCACCCCACTGCGCCAACCCCGTATCTTCCAATCCTCCATAACACATTCCATACAGGATGGTCGATGCGCTTGTTCTAGCGTTCGACAACCAGAAGTCGAAGTGGTTTATTGTGAAGGTACATCTTGTATCGCACCTGCCACCAACGATCCGTGCACGCGGATTGCCACAGAAGTACTCGTCGAACCGGTACGAGCAATCCCACAAGACAACAGTAAAGTGCCCATCTCGGGGCACCAACTGGAAGGGTGTGGAAGATAGGATTGTGAAGAAGCATGTCGAGCAAGCTGTTGTTCGACAGCTGTCTCGGGCTGCCGGCGGGGACAAAACCTACGAGACAGCCATGAAGGAGGTGAGACTGAATACAACCCAAAGCCGTTTCAATCCACCACTTGTCCCCCCTTGCTCCAACCGCCGACTACCCTCCATGACCTCCTGTTTTAAAGCTAAACCTTGCCTATCCTCTTGAGCCCCGCTGGCCCTTACCCGACTACCATAAACTTATGACATCCCGTTCTGCACTCCCATGCTCCCCCACGGGGCCTCACATGGATGTTTAACCCGTTGCCCCCTCTTGTCATCTCTTAAATGCCCCCAGATGCTTCCCCATTAGTCCACCCACCAACCTTCGTCTTGCTGCCCCTCTTGACATCCCGTTCTGCCCCCACATGCTTCCCCACTTGTCCACCCACCGACCTTCCTCCTGCTGCCCCTCTTTGCTTCCCGTTCTGTCGCCTACATGCTTCCCCACTTGTCCACCGACCAACCATCTTCTTGCTGCCCCTCTTGACATCCCATTCTGCCCCCACATGCTCCCCCACTTGTCCACCCACCAAGTGTCCTCGTGCTGCCCCCCTTGACATCCCGTTCTGCTCTCAAAAGATCCCCCGCTTGTCCACCCATGAACCTAAACCCTCCTGCTATACCCCTCGCCCACTCGAACTTCCCACCCTTGCTCCACCACTGGCTAAACCATCCAGCCCATCTTTGTAATTCGTTGAGCCCCCCCCCCCCGCTTGGCACTTGTCCCCCTATTCACATGCCTACTGTTGCTGCCCCCTCTGACCTCTCGTACTGCCCCCTATTCCCACCCACTCGTCCCTAATCACTGCTCCCTCCTCCTGTTGTCCCCATTGCACTTCAATTGCTGCCTTGTTATGCCGCCATGTAAACCATGCATCCATCACCTTCCTACCCAGGCTTGCACGCTTGGGCGCCGGGTGATGACAAAGACACACAAGAAGATGACCGTGGGGAACATCCTCGATGATGTATTCAGGAGCTACGTCCTCCTTCACGGAGATGAAGCGATGGGCGCCCTGAAGAAGCGGCTGACCATGGAGGGAATCCGCGAACAAGTGCTCAGTGTGAGAATCATAAGATTGCCCCCTGCAATGCAGACCTGCCACTACCATCCTGTTAAACGCAAGCAGTCTTAGACCAGTTGTAATGGGAAAACCCAGCCATGGAAACCCGTTGTATCAACGCACCACTTAGCAACTCATCCTTGAGAAATCTAACACGACCCTTCCATTGTTTTGTTGCGTTCCATGTTTGTTTACTCGCAGGTGCACACAGCCATGGCAATCCCACCGCACGACAGAGTGGAGTGGACCGAGAAGGGGCAGTTTGTCAAAGCAAGCCCTGCTGAGAGGCACTTTTCAGATGTGGCCATAAACCCATCTGGCAAAGGGGCCAACTGGTACGGCCGTTGCTTGATGCTGTTCCATTACGTGAAAGATGGCGTGGCAAAAAAGGCCGCCTACATAGAGTACTACACGGAGGATCGGCGCGTCTGCCGCTACACAGGCTGCAAGCGACTGCTGCCCACGAAGGGCACTTACAACTATGCAGTTGTAGATGCAGATTGCATTCTTAGCATCGTGCATGTCGTCCCATGCTGCAAAGACCCTGATGTGAAGCTCCTCAATAGGTTCATCTGGTAATGCCTTCAAAATTGCGACTATTTTTCTAGACTATAACATCGTATAATTGTGATACTCCTATTCATGAAGCCTTATGTATTGTCTCAACAAACAACATTTGACACATCAACCATCAAAACATTGGTAATCCATTACTAAAACATCAACAAAACATTTGGGTAGTACAAAATGATATCCGAATGATATGTAGATGATTTCTGAAAGATTGTCAAACGTTTTTTAAACCCTTGGTAACAAACCAAACGGTCGAATGTTTTCTAGACACACACATTTTTGTGATGGCTCCAGCGCATGTGAGTGCTGCCCCAGCGCATGTGGGTGCCTTCTGAGTACTCTCGCGGCCCGCTTGCCAGGGGCGTGCCAGCAACGTGTGCAGGTACTGGCTATGCCCCAGAGGTGCGTTCGGGTGGGCGGCGCTACTGAGAGTGAGAGTGCTGAACAAATAAGAGGGAAGATTGTGACGAGGCCGGATGAAAAAGCAACGTGGAATGCTGTCTTGTCATGTTTGCGTGCATGCAGTGCGGCAGATGGGACGCACCATCAACGTCCCAGGCATCCCTCTCCTCACCTCAGTACATTGCCCCATCTGTAGTCCTTCCACGTCTCCCTCTCCTAATCGTTCATTTTCCTTGCCCCAACCTTATACGTCCAACCCCATCCAACCCCATTTCGTGTATCCCGTCCATCCCCATGTTTCTCCATGTGTGCGCCACGCATGCAGCAAGCCGAGAGTGAATCATCTGAACATCTCCAAATGACATGAGCAACCTCCTTCAGTGTCACCTACCTGTCAGTACCACCCTTAACCCTCCTACCTAATCCATCCCACAACTCCTTGGCTCTGTCCCTGTTTCATTGCATGAGTTTGCGTCACATGCCAGGTAGTCCCATGCTCTCTCCCTTTCTCGGATCCCTTCTTGGCCATCTGTCCTCTGGAGGAACCGGCTGAGTTGATCAGCTTGTTGACCAACCTGATGTGAGTGATCTGCGCAGAACTGGCTGAGCTGATCCGTGCCTGAGTCCCTTATCTGTCGCACCTCAACCAACTCGCCACACTGTAATATGTCCACTGCACTGAGAGATCTGGGCAGGCTCAATTGCTGAGGGGTGTCACTGGGTCGAAGAGGGTAGAGGGTTAGTGGTTGCGGGTGTACTGGCATGGGGCCACTGCGTGTGCAGAGTGAAAGAGTCTCAAGTTATGATTGTGACAAATGAGAGATAGGTTAACATAGGAAAGGAAACGGTGGGCAGATTGGATGAGTGCCCACACCATCATTGGTGGGTCAATTAGGTTGACCACGCAATGATTGCCCAACATTATTGGGGGATGGGGGTGGCAATAATTGATTGGATGGCCCAGTTATTATTTGGGATCCCCCCATCAAATACGGTCCAAAAATGTTGGGAAGCACTCAACCAAAATCGGTTGGGGCTAGTTGAGCCAAAGTGCACCACATTGGGTGTATCATTTAGAGTAGTATTAACTAGCATATGCAACATTTTAACAGATAGATATTGAAAGACGAATGGGAGGGGGATTGCTGTGGTGCAGCGCGGACTATGTACAGGGCGTTGTGTGCATGCATGCATTCTTGTGCGTTAGCACTCAGCACTTCACCATGCAAGAATATTGGGTTCTGCTTTTACCAAGGCTATCCCATGCATGTGTATCTCGTTGTCCGTAGCACTCAGTGGGGCACATACCCGCATCGCCAGTGGTCCATTCCATTCCCTGTAACCATGTGCAGGAGCCTTTTGGTCAACGGGTTCACTGTGGACAGCAGTCTGCCCTCAGCACCATCTCCACCCTCGATATCCTGTCAGCCACCCCATTGCCTCGCCCACCCTGCTGTTGCATCTGCACGTGCTATTTGTTCACTCATAGAGCCATGCGGCTCTCCTTTTGCCATGCCATGCTCTGAATGTCCTCCTCGCCTTGCTGCATGCAAGGCAGTGAAGCTCCGCTCCTGTCAAGATAACGATGTTGCAATGCCCCCTTGAGTCTGATAAAGTGACGCTGCAGCCCTCAACAATACTACTTACGCGCCAAGGCTATGTGGATGTTTCTCGAGCTCTTGAAAGAAGTCAGATTGATTAAAATGGATTGATGCAACTGCCTCTGTTCCCCTGCTCTGCCTTAGAGTCGACTACAAGCTCTGTGCTTTTTAGCCGACTGAAAAGAAACTGTCTCTATCCTGTGCTCTGCCGTGTAGCGACCTGCACAATAACAACTTCCCTGGCGCCATTCCTAATTAGGTCTCAACCCTACCCACACTGATGAGCATGTATGCAGACATCATGAACATGCATGCAGTCATCATGAGCATGTATGCAGTTACCATGAGCATGCATCCAGCCATCACGAGCATGTATGCAGTCATCATGAGCATGTATGCAGTCATCATGAGTACGGTATGTACGCCGTTCATTCTGTCACTGCATGGGGCCAAGAATATGCTCGTGGAACTGTGACTCACAAGTTGTGAGAGCGCGTGCGGTGTTCTTTTCAATCTCTGGGGTAATCACCGCTCCACAAAAAATTCCTTTCCCTACCGTACTGCAGCCGTAGTAATGTCTTGAATAGACGCTTGACACCAATCATTATAGCTTTAGGGTTCAACATACAATCATAGACAATTTTTTATGCTTGCGAGCGATTCATTGTGTGCACAGGGTACAGCCGAAACATAGTGTATGGATCCAGAACGAGATTTTAGTCTACAGACCTCCACTCCCCCGTTTTGGCCCCTGTTTCATAAGGACACTGCCCTAAGGACAGAGGCATTGGTTTATGATAATGGATTTCGCCGAAACCCACTATCTG